CGTTCCAATCTATCACTAAAAAAGACAGTTCTCCTTGAACACCTGCCTGACTTAGATGCTACTGTCCCTTGTGGGTACTGCTATCATGACATATAAACGAAGTCTAACAAAACAGGTCTAATAAAGTGCTATTTAATCTGTTCCCTTTTCCATATCTCCATTCCTAAAAAGATGCTTTAATAGACACCTATTATCTGACAGGCACTGTTTCAAGCCCTGGGGATAATATAACAGAAAATAAAATGAAAACAAAAATTCTATTCTAATGGAACTTATACCCTAGTGGGAGCAGAAAGAGAATAAATAAAAATTTTTATTAGGCAGATATTAATGCTACAGAAATAAATGAGGCTACCAATCCACCCACTACAATTAACTTGATTATTACTCCCAGTGACCCTGTAGGCCATAAGAGAATGGTCCCATAGGATTTCCAAGACTGTAAATCATTACAGAAGTAGACTGCCTCATCTTTTACTCAAAAAGCTACTGGGGGCTTTGAACTGCTGATTATCCACCTCACAATCTGGGCTCCCTAAATAAAGCAAAGAAGCACATGATTTTAGATAGAGATGTTGGGAAAAATTTGCAGAGAAAGTGATGTCAGCAAATATTAGGAACAGTAAGTAGAAATATCAATGTGAATAGATGAGGGAGTATTCCAAGCTCTACAGTCTGAGAAAGGAACATCATTAAAAGGCATGGAGTAATAAGAAATGTGTCACCAAGGTCAAACCAGGGTCTGGTGGCCTAGTGTGTTACCTACTGCAAGGCTCCCTAACCCCTCTGTCTATGCATACACACACATCTGTGCACGTGTGAAGAGAGGGAGAGAGCACGAGCTCGGGTGACATTGCATTGTTATCTGAAGGATGAGCACGTCAAATCCACCAGTGACTCTAAGGAAGAATAAAGGGCAGCCTCCTCCCATAAAGATTTATGGCCTGAGAAACCCAGTGGAGGGTCACTACGACTTGGAACTGACTCAAAGGTAGTGGGTAGGACATATACATAGGATGGTGACCTAGTGGCAAGAAGCTGCACTGCAATCCCAAAGGCAAGTGGTTCAGATCTCACCAGCTGCTTTGCAGGGGAAGAATGGGCAATCTCCGCCTGAGCAATGGACTGCTTTTGTAAAGCCTCCAGAGGATCAGCTATGAATCGGTTCCAATTTGATGGTACACAACACCACCACAAACAACATATTTTATGATTATATTCGTTTAGTACAACACAATGCTATGGTGGCCTAGTGGGTTAGGAGTTGCCCTGCCAATCCTCAAAGTGTCCAGTTTGAATCCACCAGCTTCTCTGAGGGAGAAGGATGAACAATCTCCTCCTATGTGACTTACAGCTTCTGAGTCAGTTCCAACTTGACAGCCATGATAGTTTTGCTTTTATTCTGCTAATTTCAATGTAGATATATATATATAGCATATATATGTACAGAGGAGCCTTGTACTGGACTCCAAATCTATGGAACACCCTGGAGTAGTTTGACTCTCTCACATATGGTTGCTATTTTGGTTTTGTTTGTTAATTGCCAGCAAACTGGAGCTGACTCATAACTGACCCTCCAGCAAGTTTGCATCACACAGGAGGGAACCGCCAATCTTTCTCACTTGGAGCAGCTGGTGGATTTGAACTCTGTGCCTCTGGTTTGGCAGCACAACTCATTCCTATTAGTTTACACCAAACAACAATATTAGACCCCCTATTATGGTCTTTGTAATCACATCAGAGAGTTGGACAATGACTAGGGACTAGGGAGGACAGAAGGAGAATTGATGCCTTTGAGCTGTGGTTCTGCATAAAAGTATTGAATGTACCGTGGACTGCCAAGAAAACAAACAGATTTGTCCTGGAGATGGTTAAACCAGGCTGCTCCTTGGAGGCAAGGATTCTGGGGCTTCGTCTGACATACTTTGGACATGTTGTAAGGAGGGAGAGATCCTTGGAGAGGGACGTCATGCTTGAGAGGGTAGAGGGACGGCGCAGGAGGGGAAGGCCCTCTATGAGGTGGATTGATTCAGTGACTGGGGTAATCGGGATGGGTGTGTCAGATTGGCACAGGATAGAGTAGGGTTTAGGGCTGTTGTACATAGGGTCGCTATGAGTCGCAAGCAACTCGACAGCACATAACAACAACAACAACCCCCTATTTGTCATATTCTTTGACCTAACGTTTAATTTCTCCCATTTTGAATTTAAAAGAAATGAACATGTTCATGGGTCACTAAAGGTACAGTTGACAATAGGCGCACACACACACACACACACACACACACACCCCCTACTGCCCTTCATGGATTAATCAGGTCTGAGCTGATTATAAATGACTTGTTGGCAAGGAGCTTAATTATGTTTACACTGGGTCTGGAAAAATAATCGCTGAAAGATAGCCCTCAATAAGATTTATAAATGAGGAAAATACTATTTACATCCATTATCTGGTCTATAGTGTTTGTACTCTTTAATTTTTTAAAAAATAATTTAAATAGAATTGGTTATAGATCTTCTCTGAATGTTAGGTAGAATTCAGCCATGAAACCATCTGTCCCATGAGGGTTTTTCTGTGGGAAGTCTTTTTATGATTTCCTTAATTTCTTCTTCTATGATGGGTCTGTTCAAGCGTTCTACATCTATGCCAATCTGGGTAGGGTATGAGTTTCAAGAAATTTGTCCATTTCCCCTAGATTTTCAAATTTATTACAGTGCAAATTTGAAAGGAAAGTTCTGGGAACTCTGTTGGCCTAGTGGCAAGAAGATGTGCTGCAATCCTGAAGACATGTGGTTAGAATCTAGCAGCTTCTCTACAGGAGAAGGACGGGAAATCTCCTTCCATGCCCACAGGCGGGTCAATTATGGGTCAGTTTTGACTCAATGGTACAGAACATAAATAACAGCTTTTCAGAACATTCAAATATTATTGATTTCATTTCATCTGGTTTTTTTTGTGATGTCACCTCTACCATTTCTCAAATGTTTGTACTCTTAAGAAATCACTGTGTGAATATACCAGAGCTCCTCTATCCAGTCATTTGTTGATAGGCACTCAGGTTGTTTCCAACTCTTTGCTATTGTGAAGAAAGCTGCAATAAACATGGGTGAAATGTATTTGCCTGGGTGGCAGTTATGGTCTCTTTGGGGTATATTCCCAGTAATGGAATTGCTGGTCAAATAGTATTTCTATTTCCAACTTTTTTTTTTATTTCCCACTTTTTGAGAAAGTGCCATACAGCCTTCCATAATGGTTGCACCATTTTACACTCCCACCAACAGTGAATAAATGTTCCAGATTCTCTGCAACCGCACCAGCATTTGTCATTTGCTGTTCTGTTAAATTTTGCTATTCTGACTGGTGTGAGATGATATTTCACAGTTGTTTTGATTTGCATCTCTCTTAGACTAGGGATTTTGAACATTTTTTCATGTATTTGTTGGCCATCTGAATTGTCTTCTTTGGTGAAGTGTCTGTTCATATCCTGTGCCTATTTTTCAATTGGGTTATTTACCTTTATCTTGTTGTGGTGCTCAAGTATTTTATAAATTCTAGATACAAG